TTCGATCTTGAAAAATCCTGCCCCATATATCTTACCAATAGCCCAAACTATTAATCGTGCTCTTTTAGGTATAGGACATGTCTATTTACCAATAATTTCTCTGTTCCAACTTGAGTTAGTACAGAATTCTTACATCTAACCTGCCTTCATGATTGACTGAAATTGTGTGAAAATAAAACTAAGGCCCATCTGCTCCTCTAGCTTTCATCCAATGTCCCTGGAAGGGACGTACACTAGAGACCAAATATTTGCCATAGCTGTGTGTGGCTGTAGTTTTGGAAGACATCCCAGTATGGGAAAATACAATACTGGATTATTTCAAGTGTTAGTTTCCTCGTCCTCCCCACCCCCCGCAGCCCACCATCCTTTCCTCTCTCCCTCCCTCCATCTCTCCCTGCTTCTCTTTTTCTCTTTCCCTTCCTCCTTTGCTACTATATACAGTTCTAACTTCTCTAGGGATTTACCTAATTTCCTAGTACTTAATGTCTGCAGAATATTGAGATACATGTTCTAGCACAGCAAGTGTGTGGACTCTTTAGAATGCTTTATGTGTAATAACCATTATTACAGTTGAAAATAAAAATGAATAGTTCATCATAATAGTCAATATGGCAATATGTACATGCATAGAGAGCTACTACAACCGTCTTCGGGAAATTTCAAACTCACTGTGGTCTCTAAGATATTGCTTAAGCTATTCCCTCTTTCTAAAATGTTCTTAGCTATCTTTCCATCTATCTGTAGTCTCTCTCATTTCTTCAGGCTCTATTCGTTATTTATGTTACCATAAGTGACCATTAATCATTCTTATTCCTGAACTCTTGTATTATTTATTATGCTGGATGAGGGGTTAGAAAACTTTTTCTATAAAAGGTCAGATAGTAAATATTTCAGTTTTGCAGGCCATATGGTCTCTGTTGCAACATTCTGCTGTAGTGTGAAAGCAGGTATGGACAATACATAAATGTATGCGTGTAACCATGCTGGGATAAAACTTTACTTGCCAGACAAGGTAGGCTGGATTTGGCCTGCAGGGCATAGTGTGCTTACTCTTGTGCTTGACTTTTTTTGTTTTTTTTTTTTTTGGAGTTTTCAGAACTCGAGAGAAACTTAGCTAACTTTCCTTATGTTATGTGTGAGTCATAACTGGCATATCTATGGTTACACACTATGATAGAGCCAGGTTTCACAAGCAACTCACCTGAATAATAGCCCTCAATTTTAAAGTAGTTTGCTGCTTTTAATATTTTATTATATTCTACTTAGTATCAAATTATAAACTGTTTTGTATTATTCTCATATTGTTTCATACCTTATTACTTTTTGTAAATCCATCGATTATTGTTACTCATGGGGGAAAGGGATGTGTGTGTGTGTGTGTGTGTGTGTTTGTGTGTATGTGTATATAATTTTTGTTAGCCAAAGTGGGAAGAATTATAAATTATATAGAGTTACATCTCAATAAATATTTATGATTAATGTCCTCCAGGAGAAAATATAGTGATTATAGCATAGTATAACTTAATTATATGATTATAAATTATTTTTCAGTTTAGAAGAATGTGAGTTTGTCAATACTTAAATTTTGTCAACCTTACTGTCATCTTTTTTAAAAATTCTCCTTTGCTATTATATTTCCATATTTCAATTTTATTCTAATTATTGTTATTCTGAATAATTATATAATTATTAAAATGCATTACTTTATTTTTAAAATTTTTAAATTGATTTTAACTGACTTTTTTAAATAAGTGAAAAATTTAAATTTTGTATTAAGTTGAACAATTTATTACAGAAGTCAGTATCTTAAGGTTTTATAAATGTTATTTAAATTCTAAATTTAAATTAGCTAATGGATCACTTAATTGGTTATCAACTACCTTTTAATTACTTTCAATGCAACTATATATATACATTGAATATTTATTTTTAGAAAGCATATCTTTTGCCATTATCATATTCAAGTTAGCCAAACTGAGCAGGTTTAGACTAGGAAAATTTCTTTAAGCATTGTTCTGCTGACTTCTAACATGGCTCACTGCCTCCTTTCCTTCAGATCACTACTCAGATGTTACCTAATCTCCTTGACAAGGTAGCATAAAACAACAAATTTCTCTACCTCCACCCCCAAATCTCCTGCCCTCTTTTTCCTATTTAATGTTCTTTCATAGTATTCACTACCATAGCGTACTATAAATTTACCTTTTTGTTGTTAGTATATTGTATGTTTCTTCCCACTGAAATATAAGTTCTAAGAAAGCATCATCTTTTGCTGCCCTTCAGCATTTAGCGTAGGCACTTGATGCATTTTTGAATGAATACAATGAAAATGAATAAACATTAGTATATTCTTAATATGAAGGGAATATCAGAAGTAATGCTTACTTCAGTTAAATGCAGAACTTATGTAAAAAGATACTAAAAAGTCTCAGAATATAGAAAAATAAAGGAGTACACTTGTGCTTACTTACAGCTAAACAGAAAAGTAAATTTTTTCAATTACTATGAAATCCTTCATTTTAGATGATAGCATTGTAAATGGATATTTTCAAAACAAATATTATGTTCATCGTTTTACTCTTTTACATTTAACTTTCTGAAGAACGTATTCATACATACATACCATATTTCCCAGTGGCATTTGCCATATAGCTAAGAAAAATAAGAAACTTAGCAACATTATATGAAGATGTATTTGTTCATTTTAACTTACAATTTGTATACACTCGAGTGGTAAGATAGTAAGTCATAATTCATTTCTGCAGTATCATTGGGGACTTAAGTCTACTTAAGTTTTCAAGAAAATTAGTTTATTTCTTCTATTGCTAAAGTTTTTTCTGTTTAAAAATTTTTGAGAGAGGGCTGGGCACAGTGGCTCACACCTGTAATCCTAGCACTTTGGGAGGCAGAGCTGAGAGGATTGCCTGAGCCCAGGGATTTGAGACTAGACTGGGTAACTTGGTGAGACCTTGTCTCTACAATAATTCAAAAAATTAATGGGGCATGGTGGCATGCACCTGCAGTTCCAGCTATTTGTGAGACTGAGGTGAAAGAATCTCCTGAGCCCAGCAGATCAAGGCTCTGGTAGCCATGAGTGTGCCACTGCTTTCCAGCCTGGGTGACAGTAAGATTCCAACTCAAAAAAAAAAAGAGAATTTCTGAGAAATAAACCCTTCTAGAATAAACAGAACAAAATGTTCTGTCTTAGTCAACAGAGTTCTGAGCATTGTAAACATCTGCTGGGAACGGAAGACTTCCGCCCTAAAAATTAAGTGTTGTGCCATATTGTTATTTGGCACTATGCTACTGGACTCTTTGAGTTTTGCCAGGTTTAGTTCATTCATTCATTAATTCTACAAATGTATTTAGAGTATGTGCCAAGTACCATAGTTCACATCATCGGAGAATGTGCATTAAGCAAACTATCTAAACTTCATTCCCACATAGCTTACAGTCTAGTGGGGGAGAAAGACAGCCAAACAATTAAATGAATAAAAACATAGCATGTTAAGTGGTGCTAAGTGCTATGAAAGAAAATAAACAAGACTGTGTGTATAGAGGCTGATGGCTGTAGATGCTCTTTTAGCGGAGTGGACGCGCAGAACCAGACAGCAGTAGCCGAGGTGACATTGAGCAGAGACCTGGGAGCAGAGAGGGGCTTCCACTGTGTAGTAGTTGTAAGGTTCCACTTCAGGAACAAGCTTGGTGTTATTTAGAGGATGTGGAAGGAGGTCATGGTGGCTGGATAGGAGTGGAAATGGATATAATGAAAGAGAGGAGACCAGTGTGGTAGCCACCTTAGACCAGTGGAAGGAAGTCTTTGAATGATACTCCAAATCACCGAGAGCAGGAGTCAGAAGACATTTTGAGTACAGCAAACATACTTTCAGTTGCATTTCTAAAAGTGTCTTTTCTGCTGTTATGTACAAGCGAACTATGGAAGAGGGAGGGAGAAAACAGGAAACCACTTTGGCTTTTGTAGCAGTGCTTGCTGGAAGCTTTTTGGGTTAGGTCTGTAGCTATGGTGGGGAGTTGAGGTAGTAAGACTTGAGATATTCCAGTGTGAGAAGACATTACTTGCAATGCCACCTCCCAGAGAGGGAGGGTAGACCAAGAAGAAATTCAAGAGTTGAGTTCTGGTCCCTTTAACATTAGTGACATTTAGACATTAGGAAAATGAGAAGGATTCATCCAAGAAATCGAAGAGCAAGCAGCTAGCGAGGAAAAAGAAAAAGATATTAATGACATTATTAAAGTCAAGTGTAGAAATGGTTACAAATAGAATTGAGATACCGCCTATTCCAATGTAGTTGATTGGTTGATTCTAATGGGAAATGATTAATTTTTCTGACTGTAATACTTCTCAAGATAGTGATTATTCTGTTTTCTCCTTTAGTGGTGTCTATTTTTTTTTATTGTAGTAAAAACATTTAACATGAAATCTATCCTCTTAACAGATTTTGAAATGTGCAATACACTATTATCACTTATAGGTACAAGATTGCATATCAGATCTCTAAAACTTATTCATCTCGCATAATTGAAATGTTATGCTTATATATATATATATATATATATATATATATATTGATTTATAAATCCCCATTTCTTAGTGTTTAACTTTAATAGGTTTCTGCCCTGTCCACCCTCCTCCAATCTCAATATTTTAGCCCTCTATCGCTAGAATGCATAAATGCCTAAACATTTCTAGGAGAGAGCCGATATCAAAGCTTAACAACCTCAATTGTACTCATGATCCTTAGATAGCAGGGCTGAGCTGAAGTCCTTCAGAATAATACATGTTGCTATAGTTATAATCCTGAAAATCAGAAGGTTACTACTCCTGTGCTTTATTGTAATTAGTATAATAGACTTGCCTAAATTCATTTACCAAATGTTGTTTCAAGGATTTGTGCTGTATTCAATAATTATTTTAACCAACACATGCCAGTCATCATTTCGAGACTTTTATTTACTCTCTCTCTCTCTCTTCTTTTCAGAAAAATGTGATGAACCGCTGGTCTCAAGCCTCCCCCATGTAGCTTTCAGCAGCTCCTCCTCCATGTCCAGTAGCTATTCTCCCGGCTATGCCAAGATAAACAAGCGAGGAGGTAAGACACATTTTGTTTTCTTTGTCAATAAATGTGCTGAATAAGAACGTGTTATATCTATGACTATATTCTTAAAACAACAGGAGATGTTAGACAGCACCCAAAATCATTCTTGGTGTTCTATTAAAAAAAGAAAAAAATGTGTAGAGAACATGACTGATCAGGCAGTGCCAATGGGGAATCACGTAGGAAACTAAAGTTAAAGTGGAAGAAATGTTGGAGTTGCTTATAGTAATAAATTCAAAATGGCTTAAACATTCTAAGTTATGGGAATTTTAACTAATTAGAAAATAATTTAGACAGAAGAAAAAAAAACCTAATATGTGTACAGTGTATGAAATAGAACACTTTGTATTCACAGCATATGTTTCTGTTTTTCATTAATGTGCAAATTTAGTTGCTATTGAAAGTGCAGAATGAAAAAATATGACCATTTGCAATTTTTCCTATAGTGCCTCACATTAGCTTTGCTATAAAAAAAATTGTGTGAAAAAATAGATCCGTGCAACTACAACTTCAGTTTTGGGCTTTAAAGTCATAGTCTGCATTAGTAAGTGGTGATTTCAAAGTTGACAGCAATTCAGTGAGAGAAAAACATAATTAAGGACAGAAACAAACAAAAAAAATCTTTTGCTTCAAAAGAGCACTGATATTGAACCCTAAGTGCCCATACCATAAAAAATAAGATAGACAACTGGGACCTCATCAAACTGATGAACTTCTGCAAAGCAAAAGAAACCATCAAGAGAGCAGGGAGACAGTCCACAGAATGGGGAAAAAATATTTGCCAACAGTATATCTGTCAAAGGTCTAACATCTAGGCTCTACAAGGAACTCAAATGTGCCGAAAAGAAAAAAATAAATAGCCCCATTCAAAAGTGGACAGAAGACATGAATAGACACTTTTCAAAAGAAGATATATGGGCAGCCAACAGGCACATGAAAAAGTGCTCAGCCTCACACATCATCAGAGAAATGTAAATCAAAACCACACTGAGATACCACCTAACTGGAGTAAGAATGACCATCATTAATAAAACAAACAACAACAGATGCTGGTGAGGATGCAGAGAAAAAGGAATGCTTCTATACTGCTG